TTATTACCCGGAAAATATAAATATAAGACAGTCAATGAAAAATCCTACTTTCTATAACATAGTTATAATGTAAACAATAAACTAACTCTTTCTCTTTTTTTATAACTTCTAATTCTTCTTGAGTTTTTACTTCATCGTCACTTTCTCAATCGTTACTACGGTCTTCCTTCCTTTTTTTATTTACAAGTCCAGGGGTTTCAATAGCTGGTTGTGAACTTAATTTTGGATCAGTTAAATGATCATGAGCTGATTTGTTCTTATCGCGAAACTTTTTATTTAGTATCACAGATTCTTCTTCATCTTCCTCTGCTTCTTCACCAAATGATAAAAGATTGAAATCTCTGTAACAAAATTTTTCATTGTAAAGAATAATACTATCAGGACTAAATTCTACAAACATATATGATTTTTATCTTACTGCTGCTGCTTTAGTTTTTGAACTGTGCTTTATTTCTTCACTTTCCTGTACTATTATCCTTGGTGTAATATCAGAAAATGGATTGCTTAATATCATAATTTTTATCAATCTCGGATGATAAACTGCTCTATCATTCTACAAAAAGGAGAAAATATTATATTTATATTAATTCTTGATATATTATTTTGTAAACATTAAATTTACCTCATCAACAAGTGCTTCTTTAAGTTTAAGCATGTTACATATAGTTCCTCCAGTAAATTTACCAAAGATTGTATGTTTATTCTGCAAATCTGGTGTAGAACTAAGAGTAAGAAAGAATTGGGAACTATTGTCATCTTTTCCAGCATTAGCCATAGCAATTAAATCTCGTCGACAAAAACGTAATCTCGTGTGAAATTCCTCCTAAAACATATATATCCAATAATTGTTTTTTAATAAAAAAAGAATTCATTTCATTTTTAAATATAGTCTCACTTTAAATGATTCTCCATATATTTTACCACCTTCTCCTGTACTTGTTGAATCACCACCTCGTGTTATGACTCCTTTGATAATTCTATGAGAGATAGTGTCACCCTAATAACCTTCCACACATAATGGTATGAAATTTCTACATGCCTTTGGAGTTTCTTTCGCCCACAATTCTAACTCAATATCACCAACAGTTGTTTTATTGAAGCAATTATAAATATATTTCTGTTGCGAAAAATTCCAAATTTCTATAATTAATTCATGAATTGGTATTATTAATTATTCCATTATACCAATGGAAAAACAAACCATTATTATTTTCGACAATGGTTCCAACACTGTATATAATAATCACCAATAATGAATTAAATAAGAAGGAATTCATGTCTAGAATTATATTAGAAAGCTCGCTGAGGCTATGCTTTTGCCATGCAATTATACAGGTTGATGAATTAATTACAGACATACATGAAGTCAGATGAAGGCGAGTGATTTCGTTGGTAAAAAATAAAATGAAACTACGATGGTTATATGCTTAGGAACTTTTTATTCACTTTGAAAATTTCACATATACATTATTCTTTGCTTCTTCACTTTCCTGTACTATTATTTTTAGTATAATATCAGAAAATGGATTATTCAAAATTATAGTTTTTATCAATCTTGGAGGATAAAGTGGTCTATCATCCTACAAAAAAGAGGAAACATATTTATATCAATTTTTGATATATTTTCATGTAAACATTAAATTTACCACATCTATAAGTGCTTCTTCAAATTTATGTTATATATAGTTTCTCCAGTAACTTTATCAAAGATTGTTTGTTTATTCTGCAAATCTGGTGTAGAACTAAGAGTAAAGAAGAATTGGGAACCATTGTCATCTTTTCCAGCATTAGGCATAGCAATTAAATCTTGTCGACAGAAAAGTAATATTGTATGAAATTTGTCCTAAAACACATATGTCCAATAATTATTTTTGAATAAGAAAGGAATTCATTTTATTTTTAAATACAGTCTCACTTTAAATGGCTCCATATATTTTACCACCTTCTTCTGTACCTGTGCGATCACCACCTTGTGTTATAAATTCTTTGATAATTCTATGAAATACAGCGTCATCCTAATAACCTTCCATACATAATTGTATGAAATTTCTAAATACTTTTGAAGTTTCTTTTGCCCATAATTTTAACTGAATATCACCATCAATTGTTTTCATTAAACCTAGTTATAACAAATGTATTAGTTTTATTAATGTAAAATACTTTTAAGATCAAATTTATAAAAATTTATTATTTATTATTGTAATTCAAATTAGAAATTATTTAATATATTAATATAGAAATTGAGAAAGTAAATACTGTATAGTGGTTAAATTTTTAAAAACAGATATACAATCCATTGAAATATTAATAATTAATACTTATTACTTTACCCTTAGTGGCTGGCTCTTGCATATAAATATTACTTGTGTTTGTAAGTCTCCTATATGAAAAGAATCTTGCGTCAATAATATTTCATATTAAATCTTTAGTCATTTACAAATTAGTCAATCAAATGGTTCTTTTCTCGAATAATCATCAGCAGGTGAGACGTACCATTTACCTCCTGTTAACGTTAGCTTTATTGGCCCAATCAATTCCATGTGCCACAGTTCCTGCTGCTTTTATAGCTTCTTAGTTCCTATAGATATTTCTACACATTTGTGTCTTAATGCTATATTCACATCCTATATTCCATTTATCTTTAATTTTTATAACTATTACCAAGTATCCATTCTCCATCTTTTCAGTGATCCTCATATTTGCATGTTGGTGTCACACATCCTTCTCTCTTGATACATATGCTGCTTCTTTTATGTTTCTTGATTTGACACAATATGCATTTCCTCTTCTCACTGTTTTCATTCGAACCTCTCCCTTTTCTTTATACACCTCAGCTCCATCATTCTGAAACTTAATACATTAGGAATGATCATTGACTTTGCCCACTGATATTAATATTTATTTAGACCAGGAATACAACAAACCTTTCAATCTCATTATATTCACTATATTTAGTTGTTATAAGAGGCCATCACCTAAATTAATTTCATTCCTTCTGTCGCCAGAGCCATCTCCATTTTATGAAACTTTACTTTAACATCAAAGATTTGTATCTTGTATGTTACATGGTTAGCCAACCTTGAATCCAACAGATGTATCATAACATAATTGTATTGATGCTTCAATTTTTTCTTGTTCTAAAATATAATTCTTGACACCTCATAGCTCTACGCTGGTGATATTCCATGAGTCCAATATTTTTCTACTGTTGCACATGTCTGTTTATTTCAACAGAGTATTATCTTTCCACAACCAAGTTCTGCTATCACTAATAAAAGGTGGAAAAACAATGGCTCACAACTTACACCATTTGTAAAGGTGTACCATTGCATATTTGTTGTCTACCAGGTGAAGAAATAAATGCTGATTGTCTAGTTGAAACCACTGTTTGGGCTGAATTTATTAAAGAATATAGCAAACTTTATAGGATTCTTACGCGAATAAAAAAAAGGTAAGAGAATGTGTGTTAGTTATTTATGTCGTTTTATTATTTCATTTATTTCGTCTACCAATTCACGTGGATTTAGGTGACCTGTTTGAATTCTTGCTGTACATACCAATAGTTTATCATTAATTACTATTTTCTGCGTAGTCAATTTATGAACTTCATGCACGCATTATATAAACCATATCCTAGGACATGTTCACATATCATTTTTGTTCACATTCTGCTTCTAGTTTCGTTTAGAATTAAATATTTTCACGGAAGATCGTGACGGTCGTTGTTACGAAATCATGTACACCATCAAATAATAAGTAATAACTAACCAATTAGCGTTAAATTCTTTACAAAAATTGTACATGTTGCCTAAAGTTCCAGCTTTGCAATGCAATTATAAAAATTCATAAATTAATCATGGAAATTGAGTTATTCGTTAACTTTTCACTGTCGGAGCCTTTCCATCCATTTTTATCCAATCTCTGTACTTCTCGGTCAAGCATAGGAATTTTCGAATGTCATCGTTAGACCACAACTCCATTTGGAAACTGTTCGAAATAAATCTATAATTAATGAAGTAATAAAACTTTAATCGTAAATATCTCAAAAATTGTTTAGCAGTTGCGGCTATAATGATATATTTTCTTAAACTGCATAACGATATCTACAAACCTGCAAAGTATCAACTAAATCGGTGCTCCGCAGGACTTGCACTCTCCTTGTTAGTCGCTCTTTGTTTAGTCGCGGAAATCCTCGAGGCCGTTATACCAGAAACGATGAGCCGCCATGGCAGGCAGTTACTACCACGTGCTGCCATAATATCGAGCAAAAGTTTGCCTGGCCAGCGGTAGAAAATAATTTGATACGACTCGCCGTTGCAACTTGAACACAGGTGGAACGTCGAATCTATTGTTGCCCGTTTGGAGAACAATTACGATGCCGTTTTTGCGGCATCCGGCAATTAGGTATCCCGGGAACCTTGGTTATTGCCATTGGCTGAGATCGTGTAACGATGAATTCGTCCTTCTTTCTCTCTCCCGCAAGCTGTGCTTAGACGTTTAGCTTGTAATCAAGTAGCTTCTGTAACGTGTCGAAACTTTGGTACTCTTGGAGGCGACGATATCAAAATGGCGTATAAAGCCGATATTAATATAGTTATTATGAAGGACCTAAATCAACTTTTGTATACTCTGGCTTTGCGTCGTTTTATTGCAGCGGGATATTGACAGTAAAATTACTATGCTTCAAAGATAATGTGAGAAATAACGATAATATATGGATATATCTGAGAAAATTGTCTTTCTACGTGAATTAATTTTGTTCAGATTGCCATATTGGACAGATAGTATCTCTAATGACCCAAGTTATCGGCAATTTGAATCGCTGGAACTAATCCAAGAGTAAATAAATATTATCTTTATTATGCCTAATATTTCGAAAATTACAAGATTTTTTATGAAAATCGACTGATAATATCTTATCGTTTTAGATAATAGGTCAGTACTGAGTGAGTATATAAACCACTGACGGTCTACGATAACTGTATATTCGAATACAATTTGGCAAGCAACATGGTAAGTCAATTAATAATTTCTCAATCCACTTCTGAATACCAATCTTCGAATAAACTAAAATTATTAGATTAGAAATCTTTATAAAAATCATTGAAGCCACTTCAATATTCAATAACTTGTACTACGAATACCAAAAGCGAAAGAAAATGTTCAAAACTCGAACAAAAATTATTTACAAGACGAACAACCATGATTGAAAATATTCTTATAATATTACAGCAATCCCAAAAATTCATTTTCGCCTTTCTCCCAATTTTTAAATTACTTTCGAAATTTATTTATTAATAATTATCACTCTCAGTACCATTTACAAAATTTGTCCTGCCTATTTATTAACAATTATCACACATGATATTATTTAAAATACTTCTCATCTTCATCTGCTGTAATAATTTTCCACAGACACTTACATATTTATTTTCTTTATGCCCAGTTGAAATTCAGCCTCGTAGTCGTAGCCGTGTTGGCCCTGACCAGTCCTCTGAACGCCTGGCAAGTGCCACGTTCAGGCAATGGTGCCCTCGCCGACGAGGTGCAAGACTTAGTGGACCTCGTTCCCCTGGACGACATGGTCGCCATCCTCTTGGAATACGTCGCTGAGGATGCCGAGTTCCAACGGCTGGTCACGTACTTACAGTCAGACGAATTCAGGAACCTGATCGCAGACATCGAAGCCATGCCAGAATTCACTCAAATCTTGAACTACATACAGGCCGCAGGTCTCGACATCTACAGCCTGGCAAACAAGGTCAACGACTTTCTGCACCTGAAGGAACTCACTCCACCTCTGCAACGTGTGCGTGCTCTGAAGATCACCGGAGGAATCCGTGGCTTCCTCGATGACATCGAGGCTCTGATGCCCAGACAAAAATTCATCGATATGTGGAACGAGAAGAAGGCCACGTCCACTGTGTTCCGAGACTTCGTCAATTTCTTGGGCTCAACACCCGTCCAAACGATCGTCAACAAAGTCTGCGCTGACCCTCACTTCCAGAATATTTTGGTCATGGCTAAGAGAGACCACGTCGACGTTGCTGCCGTGAAAAGATTCTTGGAAAGCATGTTGGGCCTCACTGTCCCATGCACCGTCTAAATGTTGATATTCGTGTTCCTTCATTTGCATAGCGTTAAGTACAGTAAATAAATAAGCATAATCAAAACTTATCTTGTTTAATCCCTCCATATTCCCTCTGGTTTCACCATTCAGAGTGTTTTCTCGTCAAAAATTACAAATAGCACTGTTATTCGAGTTCTCCTTTTACTCCTTGCATCGTTTCATTAATTACAGTTCATGTGTCAACAAAAGTCTGTCAAAGCTTCTTAGCCGGTTGGTGACGCTGATTGGCGGGTTGCATACTGTCAGGCTGTAAGATCGGAACTTCGAACGAAAATATCATAGATAAAACTCCCCCATGTTATAGATACTATTTCAATTGCAATTATATATATATCCAAAAGAATACTTTTTTTCCAAATTTTTATTTAACACATTGCTTCGTAGTGATTGCAATAATTAAAATGGAATTTCGTATTCGTGGTTTGAAATTGTAAATTTGATTATAACCACGTTACGAAATAAGGAAGAAATGCGACAAAGAACCAGAAAATTTACTGTGAAACGAAAATAAAACACAGGAATGCAATGTAAAATCGTTTGCTCTGCAAAACGTGCAGATGAAAGAAGAAAATGTTTATTTGAACATTTCTCACGCAGGAAGTGTTTATTAAATATAAAATATCCGGAAAATTTTGAGGCAAATAAATAATAAGACATAAGTTGCAATGGTTTCAATTTACGTGGGCCCAATTTAATCATATTTCCATTTTAGCAAACACTTAAAATGTTAACGAGTACTTGTTTGTTCCAAAAACTAAACTGATTGAACTGTCGATAGGACGATAGAAGCAGAAATCACACCATATTTGTTTTGAAAATTTCTTGATATAAACTTTTCGCTGATAATCAACGAGGTACTAGTGTTACAAGTGCTGCTTGGAAGTTGCTCGACCGATCAAATCTTATCTTCTTCTCAACTGAAGTACTACCCTCTCTTGTACTTCTCAGCACGATAATTGTACATATATAAATCGAACGCTTGAAGATTCATAGGTATTAACCTATTCCCAGAGCGTTGACGAAATTCACGAAAATTATGACATATAAATCACGTACTTAAATTTTTTCACGATGTCAACTGGTCTTGCGATGTTCCATTCTTTGATTGACCAATTTCTCATATTAATTCTCCACGAAATTTCAATATTTCCTACTAGGATTCTATTACTATCAATTTAATTCCATATTATAAAATTTCTTCAAAATTAATTTAAAATTCCACCAAAACTCTGCCAAAATGCTCTTCCTATATAATGAGGCCCTTCGAATTAATATTCAACGAACCCTGCAGACAAATTCATATTTAAAAATTATAAAATTATAAAATTTATATATATAGTATCAAGGAAAGTACATATATAGTACCAAGAAAAGTATAAAAGAATATAGTACCAGACAAACTCCTATTTAAAAATTATAAAATTATAAAAATTATATAGTACCGAGAAAAGCATCACCTTAATTCAATCATTCATCTGGTATTTTTCTATGCCAATATATGCCACGTCAAAGTCGTTCGAGAATCACGAATTTCGTTATCACGTTGTACATCTGATTATTTCGAGTAGGACAAGTATAAGAGGTGCAATCAAACAGAAAAGTTTCCAGAGCGTATCAAGATCGAAAATAGAGAAGATGGCTCATTTCGGTAGGCAACAGGTTTACAAAAACAGAGAGGAAAGATCGAACTGGGAAGAATGTGATCGATAGAACACGCCTGAGAATTTGATCGCTTATCACAGAATCTCGGTGAACGATCGGTCAAATAACATATTCAAATGTGGTCAATAACGGCCCACTTCGCGTTTATCTGGTTAGCATGCAAACAGATAAGCGTGTAGGACACTCACCTGATGTTATCGCTGCTTGCATGCCAAAACATCGAGAAGGTTAATCCCTCTGTGCGTAAGTCAGGTACAACTGCAACAAACGAGAAAATATTGTTAATAGCAACCATGGATAATTTTTATTAATCGAATAAAAAGCATTCCTCTATCGATTTCTTTTTGGCCACCTTTGTCCTCGACATTGCAACCACCGATTTATAATAATAGGCGATACATCGTTTTATTAATATTATACTACTTGCCAGTGGAACTACCGATCGTTAGTATGTAATAAGTTAGTGTAATAATAGCATACCTAACTATAGTGTACACCAGAAGTCTATAGAATTAAACTTCTCCTTGGGATAGCCAGGAAATATTTGGATCATAAGAAAGGGTATACTATCGTGTTTCAATTTTAATGAAAAATAAATAGAAAGCTCTTAAAGTATATTTAATGTTTGACACAATTACAGGCACTCAAAGAATGTTAATTGCTCAATTAATATAGTTAATGAAAATTAAAGAGAAAATAAGGAGGGAATAAATAAATGAAATATAAAACAGAGCTTCCAATTTATATTTAGACAATTTTAAACTCTGCGAATTCTCGGAAATTATTTTGCAAAATTACAAAAATTAAAATTCGATATTATATTGGAAAGAATATAACTAGACACGAAATGAAAATAAAAGATCTAAATAAAATAAAATAATTTTGTTCATATAAAGAATATTATATAAAAAATAGACACGAAATAAAAATAAGTATCTTCTTCTCAACTGAAGTACTACCTTCTCTTGTACTTCTCAGCGCGATAATTGTACATATATAAATCGAACGCTTGAAGATTCATAGGTATTAACCTATTCCCAGAGCGTTGACGAAATTCACGAAAATTATGACATATAAATCACGTACTTAAATTTTTTCACGATGTCAACTGGTCTTGCGATGTTCCATTCTTTGATTGACCAATTTCTCATATTAATTCTCCACGAAATTTCAATATTTCCTACTAGGATTCTATTACTATCAATTTAATTCCATATTATAAAATTTCTTCAAAATTAATTTAAAATTCCACCAAAACTCTGCCAAAATGCTCTTCCTATATAATGAGGCCCTTCGAATTAATATTCAACGAACCCTGCAGACAAATTCATATTTAAAAATTATAAAATTATAAAATTTATATATATAGTATCAAGGAAAGTACATATATAGTACCAAGAAAAGTATAAAAGAATATAGTACCAGACAAACTCCTATTTAAAAATTATAAAATTATAAAAATTATATAGTACCGAGAAAAGCATCACCTTAATTCAATCATTCATCTGGTATTTTTCTATGCCAATATATGCCACGTCAAAGTCGTTCGAGAATCACGAATTTCGTTATCACGTTGTACATCTGATTATTTCGAGTAGGACAAGTATAAGAGGTGCAATCAAACAGAAAAGTTTCCAGAGCGTATCAAGATCGAAAATAGAGAAGATGGCTCATTTCGGTAGGCAACAGGTTTACAAAAACAGAGAGGAAAGATCGAACTGGGAAGAATGTGATCGATAGAACACGCCTGAGAATTTGATCGCTTATCACAGAATCTCGGTGAACGATCGGTCAAATAACATATTCAAATGTGGTCAATAACGGCCCACTTCGCGTTTATCTGGTTAGCATGCAAACAGATAAGCGTGTAGGACACTCACCTGATGTTATCGCTGCTTGCATGCCAAAACATCGAGAAGGTTAATCCCTCTGTGCGTAAGTCAGGTACAACTGCAACAAACGAGAAAATATTGTTAATAGCAACCATGGATAATTTTTATTAATCGAATAAAAAGCATTCCTCTATCGATTTCTTTTTGGCCACCTTTGTCCTCGACATTGCAACCACCGATTTATAATAATAGGCGATACATCGTTTTATTAATATTATACTACTTGCCAGTGGAACTACCGATCGTTAGTATGTAATAAGTTAGTGTAATAATAGCATACCTAACTATAGTGTACACCAGAAGTCTATAGAATTAAACTTCTCCTTGGGATAGCCAGGAAATATTTGGATCATAAGAAAGGGTATACTATCGTGTTTCAATTTTAATGAAAAATAAATAGAAAGCTCTTAAAGTATATTTAATGTTTGACACAATTACAGGCACTCAAAGAATGTTAATTGCTCAATTAATATAGTTAATGAAAATTAAAGAGAAAATAAGGAGGGAATAAATAAATGAAATATAAAACAGAGCTTCCAATTTATATTTAGACAATTTTAAACTCTGCGAATTCTCGGAAATTATTTTGCAAAATTACAAAAATTAAAATTCGATATTATATTGGAAAGAATATAACTAGACACGAAATGAAAATAAAAGATCTAAATAAAATAAAATAATTTTGTTCATATAAAGAATATTATATAAAAAATAGACACGAAATAAAAATAAGAGATTAAAATAAAGTAGAATAATTTTGTATATATAAAAAATATTATAATCTTCATGATAGATGATCATCGTAGTTGCTCATCAAAAATTGGAAAATTACTGTTTCTTATTTCTGAAATAATATTTTACAAGTCTCCAAAATTCTATTTTACCACTACGAACTGGTAACCTCCATATTTAAAAAATTTGTATTAAATTTAATGGTAAAGAAACGAGTGTTCAATACTCGTCGAAGATCAACCCAATCACGAAATTGTGATTTCGATTTCGAAGAGTATAGTCGTCACCAGGATCCCTAATCGGAGTCGCGTGGACCCCCAACTATGGAGTCATTCTCCTTAGTCTCCCCTTGTTTCGTTGCGAAAATCTTCAAAGCTGTTAAACCGGAAACGATGAGCCACCATAGCAGGTTGTTACTACCACGTGGTGCCATAATATCGAGCAAAAATTTGCCTACCTAGGGAGAAAATTATTTCATACGACACGCCGTTGCAACTTGAACACAGGTGGAACGTCGAATCTATGGTTGCCTGTTTGGAGAACAATTACGATGTCGTTGTTGCGACATCCGGCAATTAGGTATCCCGGGAACCTTGATTATTGCCATTGGCTGAGATCGTGTAACGATGAATTCGTCCCTCTTTCTTTCTCCCGCAAGCTGTGCTTAGCAGTTTAGCTTGTAATCAAGTAACTTCTGCAACGTGTCGAAACTTTGGAACTCTTGGAGAGGACGATACCAAAATGGCGTATAAAGCCGATATTAATATAGTTATTATGGAGGATCTAAATCAAATTTGGTATACTCTGGATTTACGACGTTTTATTCCAGTGGGATATTGATGGTAAAATTACTATTCGTCATACCTGTATCGCAAAGATAATGTGGGAAATAACGACGATGAAAATGATATAACGATAATAAATGTATATTGGTAACAATTATGTTTCTATGTGAATTTCTTAATTTCGTTCGGGCTGCTATATTGGACAGACTCTAATGACCCAAGTTATCGGCAATTTGGATCGCTGGAACTAATCTAAGAGTAAATAAATATTATCTTTATTATTATCTAATATTCCAAAATTGTTTATGAAAATCGACTGATACTATCTTATCGTATTGGATAATAGGTCAGTGCTAAATGAGTATATAAGTTACCGCACGGTACGACAATTATACATTCGAATCCAATTGAGGAAGCAACATGGTAAGTGAACTAACAATTTTTCACTACATCTCTGAATACTAATCTTCAAATAAAAATAATTATACTTAGAAATTCTTATACAAATAGTTGTAGTCTATTCAATATTCAGTAACTTGTACTATAAACACTAAAAGCGAATGAGAATGTTATAAACTTGAAGAAAAATTATTGAAGACATACAACCATAACTGAAAATATTCTTATATTATTATTTAATCCCCAAAAATACATATTCAACTTCCTTCTGATATTTATTTAATAATATTCCTCACTCAGAATTCTATTCCTAATATCTTTCTATTATAAATAGTAAAAGCGAATGAGAATGTTATAAACTTGAAGAAAAATGATTGAAGACACATAACCATAACTAAAAATATTCCTATATTATTACTTAATTCCCAAAAATAAACATTCAATTTCCTCCTAATATTTATTTAATAATATTTCACACTCAGAATTCTATTCCTAATATCTTTCCTTCTTATTTACTGTCATTTTCCACTCCCAATGATGTATATAAAATTTCTTCACTTTATATTATTTGTAACATATGTTACTCATACTACAGGGTGTCCTAAAAAAGTGTATACACACTTTGCGTGATTATAAAAACAGTATATATTTAGGATTACAGATTACAGAAAAAATAAATTAGAAAGAATAAGGCATTAAAGTGTGTATACATATTTTTGGGACACTCTGTATTAACAAAATTTTTCTTTCTCCTTTTTTAACATTTCTCAGCCACGACATTACTTGTGAAATTTTTCCTTCTCATTTATTAACAGTTATCATGTACGATATTATTTAAAATACTTCTCACTTTCATTTACTATTATAATTCTTCATTGTTATAATTATATTCATCTTCTGCGTTCCCAGATGAAATTCACTCTCGCAGTTTTGGCCGTCGTGGCCCTGTTCAGCCCCCTGAACGCCTGGCAAGTGCCACGTTCAGGCAATGGTGCCCTCGCCGACGAGGTGCAAGACTTAGTAGATCTCGTTCCCGTCGAGAAAATGGACGCCATCCTCAAGGAATACGTCGCTGAGGATGCCGAGTTCCAACGGCTGGTCACGTACTTACATTCACAGGAATTCACGGGCCTGATCACAGACATCGAATCCATGCCAGAGTTCATCCAAGTCTTGAACTACATCCAGACCGCAGGTGTCGATATCTACAGCCTGGTGAACAAGGTCAACGACTACCTGAACCTGACGCCACTCACTCCACCTCTGCAACGTGTGCGCGCTCTGAGGATCACCGGAGGAATCCGTGGCTTCCTCGATGACATCAAGGCTCTGATGCCCAGAGAAAGATTCATGGCTTTGTGGCACGAGAAGAAGGCCACGTCCACTGTGTTCCGAGACTTCGTACAATTCATGGGCTCAACACCCGTTCAAACGATCGTCAACAGAGTCTGCGCTGACGCTCGCTTCCACAATATTTTGGCCATGGCTACGAGAGACCACGTCAACATCAATGACATCAAAAGATTCTTGGAAAACGAGTTCGGCCTCACTGTCCCATGCACCGTCTAAATGTTGATATTCGTGTTCTTTCATTTGCATAGCGTTAAGTACAGTAAATAAATAAGCATAATCAAAACGACTCTCGTTGAATCCCTCGATATTCCCTCCAGTTTCATCATTCAGAGTGTCTTCTCGTCCAAAATTGCAAATAGCACGGTTATTCGAGTTCTCCTTGTACTCCCTGCATCGTTTCATTAATTGCAGTTCATCTGCCAACAAAAGTTTGTCGAAGTTTCTTAACCTGCTGGTGACTCTGCATGGCGGGTTGCATACTGAATTATTTCATCTAGCTTTTATAGATTTTCGTGAATATTAATAGTTTTTGAACAGTTGGGTATTCTAATTGATTGGAATTGCTTGATAGAAGTTTAAAGTAGCAATTTAATTTTAGCTCGAATTGATTATCCTTATCGGGATTGGCATGATCGCGATTGTATGATGCTAGAGGATTGGGGAAAGAAGATTTGTAGGGAAGACAAATTTTTCGTGTGTTTCAATAATTGTCTTTCATAATTATATTAACGGGGCTTATCTTGCTTTTCGATGTTAATCAAACTTCTTTCTTATCGGAAATTATTTGTTCACCTTACAAGATTGCTCAACAGTCGGTATAAATTATTTGAACATACATGTAGAAATATATTGGAATTAATGAATTTGAATATCTTAGGATGAACCTGCTCTATATGCAATTTATACTGAATCAATTAATCGACAAAATATTCTAAACTTTACTGAGAATATAATATTATGGAATATTTAATTATGTAGTATTTTGTAATTTTAGAGTTCGTATATAATCAAATTAATCTTACTCGCTGTTATCTCAACACGAGAAATTCAATATCGAATCAGATTTATGACAGCTATATCAAAGTATGAGAATAGGGTGACTAATGTCATAATAAATTAGATATTGAAAACGAGATGAAAGATAAAACCAATATACTCTTACTATCTTTATGATATTTTGCAATGGATTAAAATTATGCACAAACTTGCAGTAACACAATGAGACGAAGATTCATCAGTCTTAATTTCTCGTTATACCCAGTATTTTTTCGTGGTGACGAAAATTCTGATATCAAATCTGAAATAAATGAAATATAATTTAACTTTCGTTTTGCGTTAATTGTCACTGACATGGCGTGGCGACCATCGTGCTCACGTGCATTTGCCAAAAGATGGATTTGGATTTTAAGGGGTTTCTACTTTCGAGATAGACCCTCTGTTTCCTACATATGCACCTTCTCGATGGTACTCCTGTCTAAGGCAGGGCCTGCTAGGTAGCCTTACTGATGAGTCCGCTAGCAGGTCCGGGAAGAAATGTATCCTTTCCTTTTTCTTTTGTCTCTTCTAGCACCACTGCAACACCAAGAATATCTGCTACATTAAGCAACTTCAGGAACTGTGAAAGAGGGTTTCCACAATGGTGAACCATCGCTATTCAGAGAAGTCGTCTAATTTTTATTAGTCGTTTTACCCAAAATCAAAAATGGCACAGTTATTCCAATTTTTATTAATTGTCCTATCCAAAATTACAAATAGCACAGTTATTCCAATTTTTATTAATTGTGTTGTCCAAAATCGCAAATAGCACAGTTATTCCAATTTTTATTAATTGTCTTACCCAAAATCAAAAATAGCACAGTTATTCCAATTTTTATTAATTGTCTTGCCCAAAAATTACAAATAGCACAGTTATTCCAATTTTTATTAATTCTCTTGCCCAAAATTACAAATTGCACAGTTATTCTAATTCTTACTAGTCATCTTACCCAAAGTTACAAATAGCACAGTTGTTCCAATTTTTATTAGTCATCTTACCCAAAATCAAAAATAGCACAGTTATTCCAATTTTTATTAATTGTCTTGCCCAAAAATTACAAATAGCACAGTTATTCCAATTTTTATTAATTGTCTTTGCCCAAAATTACAAATAGCACAGTAATTCTAATTTTTACTAGTCATCATACCCTAATTTACAAATAGCACAGTTATTGTAATTCCTATTAGTTATTTCACCAAAAATAAAAAATAGTACAGTTATTCAAATTTTTATTAATTGTCCTATCCAAAATTACAAATAGCACAGTTATTCCAATTTTTATTAATTATGTTGCCCAAAATCGCAAATAGCACAGTTATTCCAATTTTTATTAATTGCCTTATCCAAAATCACAAATGGCACAATTATTTTAATTCTCATTATACTCTCTGCATCTTTTCATTACATACAAAATTGGTCTGTCAAACAAAAGTCTAAAATTTGACTAAAATTTTTCTTCACAACTTTAATTACACATGAATCTTTCTATAACTGACAGACAATCCCTCGAAGCTTCCTAGCCCGTTTGTCAGCCACAATGGCGGGTTGCATACTGTCAGGCTTCAAGCCCGAGACTTCGAGCGAAGATAACACAGATAAAACTGCCCGATGTTATCGATACTATTCTAATTTTGATTATGCAATACTAATCTTTCAAATTTTTACTTGAAACTTTGCACAAAACACTAATCCTTCAAATTGTGAAATTTAAATTTTGCTTTATACTGATTGCAATAATTATAATTCAATCTTATTTCGTACGCATTGATTTTGATTTTACAAACGAATCTGAGACAGTACATTGCAAAATGACGAAGAAATGCTTGAAAGGATCAGAAAACTCACTGTGAGACGAAGCAAAATAAAATTCAAAGAGACAACCCAAAATCGTATGCTCTGCAAAACGTGCAGGTGCAAAAAGAACACGTTTATTTGCATATTCTTCACGCAAGAAGTGTTCACTAAAAATAAAACACCCAGAAAATTTTTAAACAAATAAATAATAAGACACATTATTCGACAAATGCCAAAAATGATTTCAAATGAAATAGTTGCAATTTACCTGGGCCTAATTTAATCACATTCTTGTTATACTAATAATCGCTTGAAAGGTTAATGAATATTTGTTTGTCACCAGGTTTGATCTGATTGAAGTGTCGATTGGACGATGAAAACAAAAGTCATGTCATATTTGTTCTGGAGATTCCTTGATTTTATTAATTTTTCACTGATAATCAACGAAGTATTAATCACACAGGTGCTGTTTGGAAACAGGTGCACGACCGATCAAATCTTATCTTTTTCTCAACCGATCTAGTGCCCTCTCTTGTACTTCTCGTCCCGATAATTGTATATATATAAATCGGACGCTGGGAGTCTCATCATCTACTAATTTCTTCTCGCAGAGTAAAGGTGAGTTCCAAGAATATTACCAAGTATTAATTTAAATAATCAAAATAATTCTTCTACTAAGTCTACTAGACCTGACGATCTTCTATACTTTCATTGCTTCCTATACCATTTCTCCATCAAATTTCAATACTCTCTATTACCAAGAATCCTTTCCAAATTAAATTTCCTATTTTTCTTTCAAAATTCTTCTAAAATTTTTTAAATTCTTTCAAAAGTCCCCTAAAATGTGTCAAAATACTTCAAGCATGGACTCAGTGAACACTGTAGACACGATCCTATTTCCATAGAAAGCATTCAGTACTTAAAGCAGCTTCTTCTGGGTTCAGTGGTTCATTCAGTACCGTCCATTTTACAGATGAAGTTCTCAGCGATCCTGTTCACGGCGTTCGTTGCGTTCGCAACGGTGAACTGCCACTACCTGCCGAACTTTGGCAAGGGTCAGCTGTACGAGGACATCCAGTACTTCCTAGACCTGATCCCCATGGACCAAGTGGCGGAGGTTGTCCTTGAATACGCCGCCGAAGACACGGAGTTCCAATCTCTGCTGGCGTACTTCCAGACAAGCGAGTTCAAGACCATGCTGACAGAGGTCGAGGGCATCCAGTCGTTCCACAAGTTCACCAACTTCCTGGAGACGAACGGAGTCTACATCGACAAAGTGCTGAACAAACTGAACAATATCGTGGGGATCCCAGCGTACCAGCAGTTCTCTGTCATCAGGGATCAGATCACCGGTGGACTGAAAGGTCTGTTCGAGGACGTGAAGGCACTGGTGTCCTACGACCTGTTCATCCATGGCTACGTGAAGAAGATGAGGGAATCCGAGGCCTTCCGCGGCTTCGTCGCTGAGCTCAAGTCCCAGGGCAACCAGCAATTCGTCAACGACCTGTACGCGAACCAACGTTGGCTGCAATTCCGTGCCATGCTCGTCCGTAATGGACTCGACGTGACCTTGGTCGAGGACATCATCTACACCGTCCTCGGCATAGAGTTCCCCGTGATCGAAGTCAAAGCCAGCGTGATGACATCCAAGGCTCTGTCAAGGGACATCCACGAGTTCATGGCTCTGGTTGACCAGAAAGCGATCCAGCAGGTGGTGCTATCTTACTTGGAAGACGACGAGGTGCAACGCGCGATAGAGTACATGTACAGTGACAGATTCCACAACCTGGTCCACGTGGTCGAGAACTTGACCGAGTACCAGCAACTGGTGCAATTCATGGAGGACTCTGGCTTGGACATGTACGGACTGCTCAATAAGATCCACCATCTGTTCGGCATGGAAGACTACGTACCACCCAAACCCATCGGCAAGCTACTCTCCAACCTTGGTGGTCTGAAAGCTATGGTCCACGACGTGGTCGCCACTCTCCCACTGGACAAACTCAAGACTCTGTACAACCAGAAGATGCAAACCTCGCCGGCGTTCCAAGAATTCATGACGAGACTTCAGTCCCCAGAGTTCCAGACCATCATCAACACCCTGTACACGAATCCTCTGTTCCTGGAAATGAGACAGAAGGTCATCGATGACGGAGTCGACCTCGAACCTTTCAGGGATGTGATTGAAAACATGCTTGGCATCCACCTTCCCAGACCCTAAATCGATGTGACATGTCTCGAATACCGTTTATGATTCCTTGGACCACTGATTTCTGATTCTGCGATTAATTGTAACGAGTTCTGATCGTTCGAGGTATTATCGAATGATGCAAGGACGACCGGATTTTTTGATTAAATTTTCAAGATAACTACGTTGTTCGTCAATAAGTCCTATTTAATTCTGGCAGAGTAGAAGAACCTGTAGACTCCAGGTTGGGTAGAATGGTAGAGTTGCGCAATTTTCTCTTCTTATCTTTCTTAATCGTCCACAAATTCGCTATTCTCTTCTCTGTCTTCGTCTTGGCTTTGATCGTAACTTTGTCCATGTCTTTGTTTATTCTTGGTTCATGATCTTGTCTATGTCTCTATCCTTCGCTAATGACGTTACCTGTGTCTTTGCCTATGTCTTTGTCCACGGATTTCATTATGTCCTCGTCTATGCTTTCATTTACGTCTTCGTCTACATCCTAGCCGTGAGAAGCTCCATCAAGGTCCATTTTTGTGTAAGTCTTCCTGTATAAATTTGCAACCAGTCGAGGTGACTACCGTCTCATCAGGGATCTTGATCAACGTTCAAGCTCTGCTTACGTCGCTCCTGCCAAATATTGACAGAGTTTATGACGTTGACAGAGACCTCATCCTAAACAATTGCTCGGATGATGAACATGTCTCGTTCACTCTTTGGTCACCAGTGCAACCTAGATTGCATCAAGACACGTCACATCCAACTTTCAAGCTTTCATTCCATCTGGAAGAATACATCTTGTCAATTTTTCTTTTCTCTGTCAGTTTTTCTCTTCCCTGTCAATTCTTCTCTTCTCTGTCACTTTTTCTCCTCCCTGTCAATTTTTCTGTTCCCTGTCAGATTTTCTCTTCCCTGTCAACTTTTCTCATGTCTGTCAATTTTTCTCTTTGTCAGTTTCTCTCCTCCCTGTCATTTCTTCTCTTCCCTGTCAATTTTTTCCTCCATCTCATCCGATTTCCTTCGTTTGTCGACGCCTATCACTTTCTCCCTCTTCCCGTCTCTTTACGGCTCTCAACGCGGCAATGGCGATTTCCGGGGCTTATTAAATTGTAACAATTTTAATTAGAGGAGCGGCGTGCACCGGCTTGTTTCTCCCCTTGTTCGTTCCACGGCTGATTGTTGCCAGGGAAGGACAGAGGGTGGCTCAATCCCGCGGCAAACGGGAAGACGCGTCGGTTGAGACGCCTCTTACTTTCCTTTTAAAAGTTAGCGCCACGTGCTCCAACACGGTCCTCTTTTATTTATCCAATGGCCGCCGCTGCTATTCCGGCCCATTCGCTGCACGCGGTGCCCTTTTGCTTTCTCGTTCCGTCGGCCAAACTTCCGTCGCGTTAACGAACTTGGGATCGGGATCGATCATTCTTCCAGGAATCGATTTAAATCCACTACAACGGGGGCTGAAGCAAATCGAATCCGAATTATCAGGGTTGCTTCGACGACCACCATTTGTAGTCGAGAATCCTCCATCTTGGCATCGCAATCTTCATCCATTTCTCGAAGACGCGTGGAAATATCGGAATAAGAAAAATATAAATAATAATAACAATAATAATAAAATATAAATATAAATTTAAAGAAATTCGAAAATTGAATAATGAAAATTATCGAAATGGAATTTTCGTCTGATATCGATGAAAATATTTTCAGAAAATCGGTTTCCAGCTCGGACTATAGTTATTTGGAACGTAACTAGTTAGTGGACTAATTTGGAACTTAAATTCGATTTTCCTGGGAATTTTCTCGACATTTCTATCGTGGAAGTAATATTTCATAATATTTGGTGATTGCTAGTGTCTCGGTTGGAATTATTGACTCGGTACTTAGAGATATAAGCAGCGATTCTTATATCAGAGATAAAGAATTGTCGAAATACTAAGTCGAGAACATTGTTTGCGCTTTTATAGATCGGCAACTCGTTGGTTTCGACCATTCTCGCTCTGCAGTACCTACACAGCAAACGAGTGTCGAAAACGTTATCATTGCCATAAGTGAAGCGAGCTGTTTTGTACCTCTGGATAATCGAATGATAATTTAAAATAAAAATATAAACGAAGTAAGTAAGAGGAAGAAAATGAAAAAATATTTTAAGAAATTTTTTGAATTATAACCTTACTTTATATTAACCCTGTTAGGAAGGTTTCTACACTTTTCTATTAGGTGTACGTGTTTTCTCTTTGTATAAATATTTCTCGTTTCATGTGTCTTTTATTAACGTTCAGGATTGTAAAATGGATTTTCGACGACATTTCGTAAATTTTTTAACGTCGCAGTTAATTTAAGGGTCGTAGAGAATTCGCGATTGAATCTCTTCGATCGGTATTAATTTCGGTTTAAATTTATGTTCAACGTTAATTTGCTATTCGATTTTCGTATTAATATCGTTGGTCAATAGCGTGCAATTGAAACATTTGCATTATTTGTCAGCCGAAATTTGCAGATTTTTGCAATTATAACTAGCTCGTAGTTGAAACGCCTCGACATAGAGGGCAGCACGCGAACGTCAAAAACGTGGATCCAAGAGGACGATCTTTATCGATTTTAATATCTGCTCTGCTGATTACATCGAATTAAAGTGTCTCGTGGATCTGCACACTCATCGTTCTATGGTTCCGCAATTAAAACTTTATTTGCATTAGATCCTATTTGCAGATTACAATTGAATCGACGCAATTAAGTTTTCCGTTAATTTTATAAATATTCCAGGTATTAAGCTTGTTCAAAGAACAGTGTATAAACGAAACGTTGCCTGTATTATTTAATCATCGTTGGCTAAGGTTTTTAAATAAATATTTAATATTTTCCAGTAATTTGGCAGACATGCTAAACTGACGATCGTGTTTATTCACTTGTCTATAACTGAGTTATAAAAGACAGTTGGAAAATATTTGAAAACTTATTATTATATCAAACACAGCACGAGATGAAATTAGCGAGATTAAATAATTATCTACAATTACGCGGACACAATGAATATGCACAATAACGTTGCATTAAAATTTCAACGATCAATCACACTCGATCTCGACTTGGAACATTTTATCCGTTAAAGTACTTTATCGTTTCTTGTCTAGATAATAAGTGGTTACAGTATCGAATTTTATGCATCGAGCACAAGTAACGGTGTATTATATATTACTATTTGTCATCTTGCTCATCCTAAAAGGTCCTCGTTACGTTAACTCGATATCACCATAAACGATCTAATTTCCTGCTTCTATCTTGTCTCGTCGACTAGTGCTAATCATTGGATCATTCGTGTAATCTTATCTAGATGGATAGAGGGATAGATTGGATTCACCAATGGTATATAAATCGCAAGGAAGAACTGTCTTGCGTTAGAATTCTGCTGGTATTAATACACAAAAAATTGGAAAGCCTACGGTGAGTACCCGAATAATTTACTCGTTAACTAAAGACCTTCCATCACTTTCTACACTATACAATTTTCCCGGTAACCCTCGAGTATTATACAATGCAATTATGTCGTTCGAATTTCGCGCGATAGCAATATGCACTTCACGGTGCGTCCGAATTCTATTACAAAAATATTTCACTTAGAGACTATGTTAAATTGTGTTCAGACTCTAAACATTTGTAGTTTATATCCGAGTCATGCGAATCGTAGTGTCGTTCCGATTTCATGTGAAAGGGGAGTCGTGACTTGCAGTTGACGCTGCACCGGGATGCTACCGCGACGCCATCTTAGTCTCGCGAGACCAAAGATGGACGACGCGTGGCTGTACCACTTCACAATTTCCGATATCATTTTCTCACTGTTCTCAGACAATTAACCTCGCTAAATGATTCCTCCAAGTTCTATAAATTGGAAGATAGATGTTAACATTAACCTATTTGTATTTTCGCTTTAAACAAAATCTTTTAAGTTTCTAATTGAAATTGAATGTAACAAACAAGCTCTTACTTATATTTGATCAAGAAGTTATACATATTTTCGAATAAAATCATTCTATGTGACTTCGTAATATAGATTTATACGGTAAATAAACTTGAAATAGATAATTAATGGTGCAAATGCCAGTTTTGCAAATCTAACCTGCCACAGTTTGACACTTTCTTCCTTCCTCATATCTTCTCTCATTCCGATTCTTCCGAAATTCTTCTTTTCCCGTTTAGTGTAAATTACGCAACGAAAGTCTCGCGATCTTACATCTGCTCATCGCGATGTTCTACCTGCTTGCAGATGAAACTCGCTCTCGCATTCGTGACCGTTTTGGCCACGGTCAGCCAACTCGATGCTTCTGGCATCGAAGTGCCAGCGTCGGGCACAGGTGCTCTGGCCAAAGACCTGCAGGAATTCGTGAACTTGCTGAACGTGAACAAAGTGGTGGAGCTGACGAAGGTGTACCTAGCCAACGACAAAGAGTTCCAATGGGTCATCTCTTTCATGCAGAGCGACGATATGAAGGATTACCTGCATGACTTGGCCGACATGCCTCAGTTTAAAAAGTTACTCGACTACTTGATGGCCAACGGACTCGACTCGTACAGCTTGTTAGAGTTCATAAATGACGCCATGAATCACAAACCGAAGAAAATATGGAGCAACTCCGGGCTGAAGATTTCTGGTGGCCTCTCCGGCTACTTCAGTGATCTCGTAGCCAACACGCCGGTGTACGGTTGGACCAACCTGTTCGAGTACAAGGTCGCCACCTCCATAGTGTTCAAAAATTTCGTAGACGAAATCCTGTCTCCCCAGTACACCAACCTGTTCACGAGCACGTTTGACAACGAACATTTCGCGAATGTGTTAAAACAGCTCCAGTACCTCGACATCGATAGCGAAACTTTCCACACGAACTTCTCCACTTTGCTCGTCGTCAAGGCACTGATTTATCAGTATGAAAGAATACTCGTGTAGACCTATTTATACAATTCCGACGATGTCTCGAAGCTTTCGATCATAGAGATGTGACATGAAGAATTATTTTATGTATATATTAAATATAAGTTGAGATTACGATAATTTAATAAAAGTCGAATTACTTCTCGTTATTAATAAAATATTCTTTTTAATTTTTCTTTGTCTACGTTTCCTGTTTCCCTTTTCAGGTTCTTCTGTGACATTGATTAGTCAGAAAATTCTGAAATACCGATTGGAAAGGAATATAATTTTCGCGTGATATTCTTGATAGACAGTTTCCGGTTCTTGATGAAATACAGGTTACGCGAATAATTCGAATCTCCTAAAAATTTTCGCGTTGAGATAATCGCTAGAAAGTCGAAAATAATAAATTGACAATGACTTAGGGTTTATCAATTCCGCAAACTATTTGCTAATATGAACGTTACACGTTTCGTGATCACAGATCGTGTAGTAGGTATCTATGAACATGGATAATAAATCCATTGGCTTATCAATTGATTGATAGAACCAATAAAATGATAACGATAATGTAGGGTAATACAGAAAATAATTTATCTCTCGTATATCTCTATATATTTCTATTCCTTAAAAATTCCCTAATCATGCCATAGTGCTCGTCGAATAATAAAATATCAGAGAAACTTTTGAAAAATAAAGGCGAATAAATAACAAGAAATTAATAATAAATTGAATAAAATTTGAAAATGTGAAAATATATAAATGAAAGTTACTTCTAAGTATGTGTTATATAACAATTATTTATATAAACGTATAACAATCATGTATTATATATTACATTTTATTATATACGAATAAACATATAACAGAATATATAATACATTATTATTATACATTTATATAGATAATTATTACATAATGTATATTCAGTATATTTCCCTTTATTTTTCAAAAATTTCTCCCATATTTTATATACAAATAATATATCAATTGTGATAATATATATAGATAACAGAATTATCTAGAAAGGAATCAGTTCAATATAGTACTTTCACACGATTCACGTTTCTTTCGTATGTACATACCTAATCACATTTATGCACCGTCCATACAATAGAATACCTCACGTAACAATTGGCATTAGAAATATGCAAAGCGTCGAGAAATTCGCGTGAATAATGGAAATTAATTTGATAAATTTATAATACGCTTCCAAGACAATTAATCACGTATATACATTTGAACATCGGGTGACAGACTATAATCGAAGAGTCATCGTGATCCGTCACTAGATACTGTCTAGTACAATAATTTCAAGTAATAATCGGAAGTTTTTAGTTTAGTTTATAATTTAGTATAATCGTCATTAATCATCTCTAACTACTTAATACCACGATTCCAAGAACATTTCAAACAACGTATTAATCCAGGAATTTGGGCGTCATCGATTACAATTTGATTTACAATTCAAAGTAATTGTAGATCATCGTCACACATTTCTGAGTATAAAATAATTTAATTATTCTAATTAATTAATTCGTAATTCATTCAGAATTATCGTAATTTGTCAGTACTGCATTATTAAATAATGCAATAATTATAAATAAATTTGAACAATACTGAACACGTTTCCATCGACTCCAAAAAATATGTTTTCATATTAGGGGATCCTAATCGTCATCCTAACTTTGGGGGCTGTTTTCATCCCTTTAACCCTTTGCACTCGAGAGGTGAGCTTCAGTCACCATTTCATAGAATTTGGTGGATCGATATTGATTAATATATCAAATTTAATGCAATATAACAGTGTGCGAAGTATCGAAGTTAAATAATTCTACAATTCTATTATTATACAATTCTTCAATTACTGCTCCAAAATGTATCGTCAGTTTTTTAGCAGAGAATCTTTGAATTTCTACTCTTCTCTAGCCAAAAAGTCGCCGAGTGCAAAGGGTTAATAAGGACGATGATTAATAAAAGAAAATATGTGTCAAATATTTTTTTGGCAACTATATTTCACGTATAATTTCATCAATTATGGTGTAGGAGGGATGGACATGTCCCCTGGTAAGAAACAAAGCACGAATCGTACGTCCATTCTAGTAATTTTCCTTTCATATGATCCTATGGTGATTTCGGAGAGCATCGTGACGTTGACATGTTTAATCATACGATTCATCGATCAAATTCACGTCGCGGAATTGATAATTCGCTCGAGACGCAATTCGCAAGTTTCATCTGCCTATATCACGTGAGAAATATACGTCACTCTACGTGCGCGATATAAGGCGATAATGAAAGGCAGTATGGTAAAGAGAATCAGGGAAAATAATACTCGATAGATTACGATTATTCGTTAAAGGGTCCGCAATTTTTCAAATTATCATTCGATACTTGATTCATCGACAATACGTGACCAATTGAACCATTTGCTTCTAGTAATAGATAAATAGTAAATGATTCACGTGCTTCGAACAGGTTGCCCTAATTTAGCAGAATTTTTTAACGTTTCGCAATTTTGCGTACAGCTATATATCTTAATTGCTTGATCGCGATAAAATCACCGTGTAACAGAATAGCACACATCATAGAATAGAATAAAATTTATAATATATAGAAATAAAAATAATTTTCGAAGAATTAATATACTGTAGATGTACAAAATATAATTATTCGTTAAATGCAATTTAATAAATATTTCAGCAATATTCGTGTACGAAAAGACGCTAATAATTAGGTTGAAGAATTTTCGAGGAATTAATAAACTGTAAATATACGAAATATAATTATTCGTTAAATGCAATTTAATAAATATAAACAATAATAAATACAAACAATAGCACACAACATCATAGAATAGAATAAAATTTATAATATATAGAAATAAAAATAATTTTCGAAGAATTAATATACTGTAGATGTACAAAATATAATTATTCGTTAAATGCAATTTAATAAATATAAACAAGTTTCAGCAATATTCATTTATGAAAAGACGCTAATAATTAGGTTGAAGAATTTTCGAAGAATTAATAAACTGTAAATATACGAAATATAATTATTCGTTAAATGCAATTTAATAAATATAAACAAGTTTCAGCAATATTCATTTATGAAAAGACGCTAATAATTAGGTTTAAAAATTAATAAAATGTCCACAGTCGCTTATATTAATATTCGTGCACCTTTTTAATGTTAATATGTATACTCCAAACTTCGATTAAATATTTATGTAGAAATAAAATATAAACATAGAAAATTGGATCGTGGTATATAGCAATTACTAATATAAAAAATTTGATACCTAATTTTGATTATTGCATAAATATTTAAAAAAGGACCGGAAAAGAGGTAATTATTATGCAACACTGATATACGGACAATTTATAAATTGAAATTTCAAGTATACAATTATAGCATGTATGAATTGGATAAAGAAAAATTATTCATTATCATTGATTTACGTTATGTGTTCATACATATGCATGTACGTAAGAATTCCTTAATGAAGAAGTCAATTGGTGTCGAATATGTCCAATGATATGTAATCGTCATCGGTTACATGAAATGATAAAAAGCGCAATGTTTTGATCGATTAGGTAACAATACGAAGACTGACAAACGCTTTGCGAAGCAGTATCTGTCAAGTATCACTGTCCTATAGTCATTGTCATTTCCTTTTGCGATACTATCTTTAATTATAATTATCATTTCGACGTACTGTGACGTAACGACTTTTCACGACAAAAAGTGGATGATATCTTTGAAATGCTTCTCGAGAAAACCATCAGCCGGACAACGTGAATCTGATCGATGAATCGAATGCTTGAATACTGAATGACGATGGAATCGTATCGGAGGAAAATCACGCAAATGATAATCAATGTATACTGCGTGTCTCAATTTCGAAGATAAAGGTTCCGCACTTGTAAATTTCGAGATCAAAATCAAACTCCACTCCATTCCATACGTATCTTCTATTCGTCATTTCCAATCATTTATTATAATAAATTCACGCGCCATTATCGATATCTCGAATTATTTAATATTTCAACCGAATAGAAACATTTTTGAAACATTTTTAATCATAGATCGAGAAATATGTCAAAGAATGGAAATAACAGGAAATATCGGTAATTTCTCTTCTTTTAACACGTTGAGTGCTACGTCAGTCCCTAGGAACTGACAGAAGACATTTCGTTTGGACGGTGTGGATTCTAGGGACTGACAGCGAATTTTTCGTTTGATCATCATCGATGCGTAAGACTGGCATTGTCAAGGGTTAAATTATCAATGACAATTAATATATTGTAAAAATTTAATTCCCTCTGCTAAAGTAAATCTTTACACTTCCGTGGCTTTTTTCGACTGATCGTTTCTTGGTGATCGCCTTTTTGCCTTTCTGGCATTCCCCACCCCATTATCTTCTGTTTATAATTTGTATATTTGTGCATTGGCTGTACCATTCTCACAGTCTAAACGACAAAGTGAAACAAAGTAATCTTCTGCTCATACCCTTCGGTATACTTGAGCGTTCGGCATCAAGTGCTCGCTAGCTGCCGCCTGAGCGGAAAGTATAGCAAAATCGGCGCCGCACTCAACGTGTTAATTATTTTGTAGGGGGTCTTCCCCCACGGTTATTGAATGTCAATTGGTCGCAGGTATCCTCGTGTGGCGGTGGTGCTAGAAGGGATGAAAGGAAAAGGAAGGGATGCGCTTGGTCCCAGGACCTGCTAGTGGCCTCATCAGTAAGACTACACAAGCAGGCCCTGCCTTAGACTATTGGGACTATTAATAATAACCTTCGACTATTAGTAGGGATACTATTGAAAGGTCTGGTATGATATATTCCCTGCGATTTAGACTATTGGGACTATTAATAAGGACCTGCGGACTATTAATAGGAATTACTATTGGAAGATCTGGATGTTATTATATATATAGGAGGCGGGGGGTTTCCTACGGACTTGCGAGAAAACCATCGAACCTCCTTCAAGTCGGAATTCCATCTAGCGGCGAGAGTGAGAATGATAGTCGCTATAGACAGCACACATCCGGCCCCGGGCCTGCTGCTAGTGGACTCATGAAGTAAAGGGGGCTTTCCCCTATCAGGCCCCCTCTCTGTCTTAGACCGGGGAATACTATTGAAAGGTTTAGGAAGTTATATATATAGGAAGCGGAGGCTTTCCGAGGGACTTGCGAGAAAGTTTTCCAACCTCCTTCAAGTCGGAATCCATCTAGCGGCGAGAGAGATAATGATGTCCCCCTACAGACACCATATAATATGCGTCCCAGACCGACCCTGCTAGTGGACTCATGAGTAAAGCTACCTAGCAGTCCCTACCCGGACCGGAATAATATTCGAATGTCGAGAAGTTATATATATAGGAAGCGGAGGTGTTACGAGGACTTGCGAGAAAGTGCTCGAACCTCCTTCAAGTCGGAATCCATCTAGCGGCGAGAGTGAGAACGATGGTCGCTACGATCTATTATTCTCATTTTATTTTCCAAAGAACGTGAACGTTGTTTCGAGTGTCCAGCGAGATCCAAGGAAGTCCGTCGACTTCGCGAGCTTCCGGGGCAAATAAAAATGGCGCATGCATGATAATCCTCGCGGTGACTCGCCCCTGTAAATTTCGAATCCTCGACGTAACCATCTAACCGATCAATCGATTCTATAAATCCCGTGTTAAATGTGAACACCTCGACAACGAAATACTCGATAAATAATCTACCATAACCTATCTCGACTGGGCAGTTAACCAAGAAACCCGCGTGACCTAGAACAATAACAAGAGGAATATTCGTATGATGGCTCAGAGAATGTACTTCACGCTTTTAAAAAAGCCCTCCCTCTTCCACGTGTCTTAAAATCCAGTTTCCACTGATGTAAGTACTTATCCATACTTAATCTCATGCTTAATCGCAGAATTCAGAACCCCTGTCAATTTTTCCGAGCTGTCAAGCAACGACACACTGCACAATTGACATAATAAATATTGGCCACGTATATTTCTTAAATTATAATAGAATTAAAATAAAAATTCTCCACTGAGATTAATAAAACCGACAATCTTCCTAATCAATCTTCCAGAAACTATACTCGTGCCAACAAGATCAATTGACAGCGCTCAGCCACTATCCTCCACGGATTTCAAGCTGTGAAACGACTAGTGAATCGCAAGTTTGTCATCGTTACGATGATGTCATACTGAAACCTGTCTCAACAATTTCTCGAGAAATGAACCCTCAGATAGTGATCACGAGCTTAATGGCCGCCGCGTCGGTAGTCGTGTTCGGGTACTACGCCTTCAAGAGGAGGTCAGGACCAAGCGATCCTGACCTGCCAAGCCTGCCTCCGTTGGAGGACACCAGCTCGCTGGACGATGACCTGAAGGACATTCTCGCGTTCGTCCCGATGAAGGAGGTGCAGGGGATCGTGGAGAGATACATGAAATACGACGCGCAGATCGCGGACACGGTGAGCTTCGTGAATGACCAGAAGAGGTTCATCCTTCGGGAGTTCCAGGCAATACCGGAAGCGAGCAAGCTGATCGACTTCCTGCGGCAAAATGGTCTGCGAGTGGACGATTGGCAGGAGAGGATCAGATGCTTCTGGAAGACGTCGCCGAGGTTCGTCAAGTACGAGCCCAAGATGGCTGCAGGGGGTCTGAGCGTGATGATTAATAAGATACTCGACACTATGCCTCTGGATGAACTGCACGAGCTGCTGCGACAGAAGGTGAAATACTCCGCGAGCTTTCGAAGGTTCCTGGTCGTCTTGAAGTCCAAAGCTTTCAAGGACTTCTGCAACGCTATGGAGGAGAATGATGTCCTGCACCATCACTACTTCTGGGCGAAGGAAGGCGGCTTGGAGGTCACCTTCGCCATTGAGCTGTTCAACGAGTTGCACGCGTACCTCACGCAGACCTTGGTCGTTTGACTGTTTCCAAATTGGCTACCGATTTTTGTCAATGACGAATAAAATGCAAATGCAGATAAAAGAGTTACTGCGCATTATTAATTTCCGAGCTTCTGTCGGAAGCACCTGAACAGTGAAATTATATGTACCGGTTATTATTAATTTATTTATTTATTAGTCACAAGAGAATATTTCATTTCGGTAGATTGAAAAATGGGACAGGACAAATTTCTGGAAAGTAAGGTTCGATGTTAGTGTACATTTAATCATGGAACTTTTTCGAAAGTTCATGAAGAGTGGAGCCTCTGTTATATGTATATTTCGATTGGGATAACTGCGAGTGAACATTTTGCATTAGGATGATGAGAAGCATGATCAAAAAATTTTCCAAAAAGAATTTTGAGACTTTATACTTATTACATTATCTGGAGAAGAATTTCGATATTATCTATCCGAATTATCTAATTGGATGTTTACATTAGCACGATTGGAAGGGAGAGGTCAAGATATTTTTCGAAAAATAGAATTCTTGTGATAGAAACAGTTTGGTATTTCTGGTGTATAATATATTTTTCAAGGAATTATGTGTTGTTCCACAGGATTGCCAAGAAACAGGATTCTACATTAGCATAATGAGAAACACGGTAGAAAATCAGTGTATATGGCATCGTGTTTGCGAGATTACGGATAATCAGAAAAAGAAGACTCGTTTGATATCACGATCATCAGCGACGTTTAATTTGCTACCTTACCTCGTAATAGATAAGCAATATGTTTGTAAACATAGTAAGTGGATCGTTCTCTCCTCGTCACTGATGCTACTGCCACTATTATTCACGGCATATACAGAACGCAAGATTGCACGAATAATAGCAAAAATTATTAAATGCAATGTAACTGACGTTTCTATAAGACCTTATCGCCTAAAAAATATTGACACATGTACGTGGTACTCGATACAGAACATTTCCTTATTGATTTATTGCGATCAACATAGTAGTATCGCAGTAAGAAATCATTGGTTTCCAAATTAAACGCTGATTATTATCGAAGATTTTTTCGCAATTTCTAATCTATTTTTCTCTTCTTACGGAAATTAAACCTAGTCGTAATGTCAGGTCTCGACATTTATTTTCATTCGATTCTTTTTATTTCCCTGCTCAAACTTCGTTTGACAGAAATATCGTGGATTATGCATCAAAACTTTGTATATCATTTCTGGGAATACTGCTTGGATCGCAAAGGACACAGGCGAAGAATGAAGAGAACCGCGTTTCCATGCGAAATAAATATATTTTATTTTTTAAGGAGAGAAATCAACGTAATATTAAATGTACATAATTTGTCGAATTTTACGTGACAATGACGAAAGTTGAGAGCAATAATGGTGTATAGGCTAAGAAAACTTCTCTGTCCACGCCAACTGTAGCAACCATGTCTACCAGCCGTTTATAGTGCTCGTTGTTGAAAATGGAGAAATAAAATTCAGGGAATCCGTTAGATGTAATTTCGTGTGTGAGATCCTTGACCACCTTCGAGTGTTCCAGCTTCTTGGTGAACATATTCAAGATCTCTTCCAATGGGATAATTCTACCCAGGTCAGAGAGGAATCCATCGAGTCCACCAGTGATTTCAACTTTGGAGATAGTCAGTGAGGCTCTGAGCTTCTGGACAAGCGGTGGTATGCGCAGGGCTCCGTTCAACTTGTTTATCAGGTAGTAAATATCGAGACCGTTGTTCTGTACATAGTTCATCAGCGATATGAATTTAGGCTCTGCTTCGAAGAACTGCACCCACTCTTTCGTCTCCGTGTTGCCCAAGTAGGCCATGACAGCTCGGAACTGCTCGTCTTGGGTTGCATAGGCCTTTGACAGAGCTACTATATCGTCGACAGGCAGTATGTCGACGAAGTCTTGCATCTCGTTGGCCAGAGCTCCGGATCCCGTAGCTGGGAGCTGGTAAGCGTTCAGGGGAATGGCCGCGGCCAGGAAAACCAACATGGCGACTGCGAACTTCATCTGAGAAAATGCCAGAGGAACGATGGTAAATGGCAAGTGAAAATTGCTGGATTACGTGTTCGTACTTGAAGACAGAATTTGAGTATCGATATTTGTATATTCCTTTTTCATTTTTGAAAATCATTTGTCCAACTTTTCAGCGAATTTTTGTATGTTCTTTGTCTTCCGAGATTGACATGTATTCGAGTATTGTTATTTTAATATTAACATATCGATATTAAAAATTAGGAGACGATATGAAATTATGTTAACACGTTGACTGCCATGGTGATCATCAATGACCGATGCTTGTCTCCTGAGTGGGCTCATGGTGGTCACCAGTGCTCTGATTTTTTAAATTTATATTTGTTCTATTCTAACCAATTTTTGAATATTTGAAGAACGCAAATAAATAGAGAACTTTCAATAAAATACATTAATAATTTCCATCATTATTTTCTTTTTCTTTGCCATATTGTTTGATAATTGAACATTATATCCTAGGAATAACGAAAATTTTATCGTGGCTCCCTGAGTGCACCATATAAGAAGTGCATGGCAGTCAAAGTGTTAAAGGATAAAAATTATATTTGGTTACAGTGGGTTCAGTGTCAGTGAATCTACGTCTCGAGTATAATAATATAATATCATAAAGTACACATATCCAGTGATAATAATAAATAGGAAGTCAGAATTTAATTAATAATTACGTACTACAATGTAAGAGAAAATAAAGAAGGAAACTTTGGCAATTAGAGTAACTCTGCGTCAATGCAAGTTTATTATTCCGTCTGAGCTTTAAGATCATCGGGAGTCTACTGTAGATCCAGTCTAGAGACACAAACAAAGATTGAAACCCTGGATTCTTAGATATCTGCTTCCAATCTTTCTTCGTAGAGTTCATGTTCAACTCGAAGTATCGAATGAAAATAAATTTTGATCGAGAAAGCTCTAGCTTGTTATGAGTCCAATTAAAGTGAGTAAGTCGTATTGACACTTACCTTGTTATTTTTCCTCGAACTTGCTGTTGCTTCTTTGTTTCTTAAAGTGAACTGTCAAGTATCGTTCACCCGTTTTCCATCACATTTTATACACGTTCGGAAGGTGATAAAATTCGGTTAATCTTATCGAATATTATTCATGATATTGAATTACACCGAATTCCTTATCGCGTGAATTGTACTTGTAAATAATGTTAGACCTAGTCCGTATCGTAGATATTAATATTGGTGGGAGATGGATTCCTTGGAAATGTGTCTAAAATGTGACGTAGCTAACACCTGCGAGCAGATTTCAAATCGTCGAGCAAAAATCGAATCTTCTGAAAGGAAATTTTAGCCGCTGGCTGAAACGTGGCTGCATGATGCTGCTGGAGTATAATAACGTCGGAGGAACATCATCAAAGAAGAACATCTTTAGAGAAGAAGCTACCCCTATAACCTGCTTTGGGAGCTTCATTAAGAGAGACGTAAAAACGTTGTTTCACAAAGGAAATGTTTATCGGCGTGTGATGGCTACTTCGTCAGCCCCGGCCAGGTCAGCCGCCATTATGGTCTTTATTCAGCACGCAAACTTTCTTTTGAATTGCATAAAATTACAACTTCCCTCTTTCGACTATTATTTTTCCGCGCGAATTTCAGAGTTCTTTCGATGAACTCGAAAACTGCTGTGAACAAGAATAATAGATTACTTAAAATCCAGGAAAGTTTTGAATTTCCACAATTTTTTGATCGACCAAAATTTCCGCGGTAAAATTCCATCGCGACTCAAACAAGATATTTCGATTAGCACTTGAAGTCCTGAATTTCTTACAAAATTGCAATTCGATTTCGAATTTTAAAACGTCAACCATCAATCCACCCTTCGCCCAGAATCTCAGTCGAAGAAACAATTAATTATTACAATTATCATTAAAATTATCGTAAATCAAGGATAAAAATGTATGTATATAACTATTATTTTGTCCGTGAAATGCAATTCGATTTTGAGATTTAAAACGTCGAACCTCAACCCACTCTTTTGCTCGAATCTCAATCCAACAAATAATTAATTAATAAAATTATCGGAACCCAAGGATAAAAATTTATCCATTCGAGAATAACTTTATCCGTGAAATGCAATTCGATTTTGAGATTTAAAACGTCAATTCTCAATCCATCCTTTTATTCGAATTTCAGTCCAAAAAATAATTAATTATTACAATTATTATTAAAATTATTGCAGTCCAGGAATAAAAATTTATCCATTCGACTATAATTTTGTCCGCAAAATGCAATTCGATTTCGAATTTTAAAACGTCAACCATCAATCCACCCTTCGTCCAGAATCTCAGTCGAAGAAACAATTAATTATTACAATTATCATTAAAATTATCGTAAATCAAGGATAAAAATGTATGTATATAACTATTATTTTGTCCGTGAAATGCAATTCGATTTTGAGATTTAAAACGTCGAACCTCAACCCACTCTTTTGCTCGAATCTCAATCCAACAAATAATTAATTAATAAAAATATCGGAATCCAAGGATAAAAATTTATCCATTCGAGAATAACTTTGTTCGTGAAATGCAATTCGATTTTGAGATTTAAAACGTCAATTCTCAATGCATCCTTTTATTCGAATCTCAGTCCAAAAAATAATTAATTATTACAATTCTTCTTAAAATTATTGCAGTCCAGGAATAAAAATTTATCCATTCGACTATAATTTTGTCCGCAAAATGCATTCGATTTTGAGATTTAAAACGTCATCCCCCAACTCACCCTTCTTCCCGAATCTCAGTCCAAAGAATAATTAATTATTACAATTCTTCTTAAAATTATTGCAATTCAAGGATAAAAATTTATCCATTCGACTCTAATTTTATCCTCAAAAAATTGCCAAATCTAAAATTCCTCTATTGCTAAAATCAACACGAAATCCGTGAAAGCCATGGACCTCAGAAAATTCGCCATTTTTCCATCACGATTTCAGAGTCTCCTGGTCTGGAGCTACGGTTGCCGAAGGTGGAGAAATTTTCTAAGTCTGTTGGCGATGAAAGGAATTAATTGCACCGAAGACGTGGCTGGTCGGTACACGACTCGTGAGCGTTGGCTGGCGGAGGACTGGGCCGAAGGGTGCGCATGGGGTGAGCAGGCTCGTGAGCGTGCTAAGGCAAGCGGCTCGCGGTGTCTGCGGCAAACAATTCCAATTAACTCGCTGGAATTGGAATAGGACCCGTCTCGTCGACGCTCTCTCGACCGAGACACGGTCTCCTGGATGCAGGAGCGTCGACGACGTGGCGAACGCGTTCCTTTCCTCACCCTCTGGTCCCTCCGTCTTCGACGCGTCCTCCGCGCGCAGAAATTAGCTGTCCATCCAGAAAGTTGGCGAAAACGCGACGGGAAGGCGACGCGGGCTTGACGAGGACGACGAATTACGTGGATGGAGAAATTAAAAAACTTTCCACGGTATTTGCATATCAATCGGAGATCGCGGCCGATCAGGCCGGGGGACTTTTTCGGGGGGAGAAAGGTGTCCTGGCCGGGACATCGGTTGCATAATTTCCTGATCCCGGGCTGACATCCGTCTCTGCTATCTGTTCCGGCTGAAAGGCGGAGTGGGCAAGGTAGCTCGGGAGGCATAATTCAATCAGGACCTGGCGGGGGTGTTTGTCAAGTACGGTTTCTTTGCACGTGCACCGTGAGCGGGTGAATGGTGACCCGTTGGACCATTATCCGGCGCATAATGCTCGTCACCGTCGGCCAGGGACAGGGTAAAACAGATAGAGCGAGAGAGAGAGAGAGTCATAAAGCACGGGGTTGGGCCGTCGCCCTAGACAATGCGGTTCTTGAGCTGCTCAGATATTGAAGACGCCCGAAAGCGGTGTGTACCAATCCCGGTGTGTACCCAGCGTCTAGCCCGCTACTCTACATTATTAAATCTCAGCGTGTGGACCAGCCGACGCGGGACCATGGCGTTCTTTCGCCGCTTCCGTCGACGTTGGCCGACGTGCGTCGAATTTCCGACATGATGGAGAGTCCGGCCGCAGTGGTGGGACGTTATCGCGTCGTTATCACCCTGGTCAGCTCGCGGGTGGCGCGTGCGAGAGTCTAGGGGTATCTCGCGACCGGTGGTAGGGGTGATAATCGCCGGCTACGTGGAAAATGGTGGAACACATCGTACAATTCCTCGGGTTACACAACCCTCCCACCCTGTGGCGAATTCGCGACACGCTTTCAGTAAGTGTCTCGTAATTAGACATCGATCGCTCGATGCTTATCGAGACACAGTCTCAAGGCTACACAGGTCTGGGTGGTGGTTGTTTCGGAATAATTTCGTGGTTACACGTGGAATTTTACAGAGATACTCGAAGCTTCGAGTGTTCTTTCGTGCAAGGTTACAGACGTTTCGAGCTTTCGTCGAGATTTAGATGTGGTTAGTTTTGTAGGTTCTTCCAGGAGCGATGGGCGACTTGACAGGTCGAGGAGTTCCTTCCAGAATTGGGTATGTTGACGAGCAGTTGGGACTGGAGAGTTGTTTAGTTCCTGGCATTCGTAATTTTTACAATTTTACAAATTATCGTTGGAAAGTGTTTGCAGTGGAAAATTGGGAAGAATAATAATAAAGATTAACTTTGGCTTGGCATTTAGTCCTCCATTTTCGGTAGATTTTTATTTAAAATTATAGAGATCTTGTTCTCAAATTTGCAATGATTTTCCCGTTTCTATATATCACAAAAAGATCGGCTTCCTTTTAATTTAAAATTTAATAATTCAAACCCATCATCAAATTTATAATTATTTTCCTCCCTTCGTTTTAAACGAAACTTCCTATTTTTCTTTGCCTACATTTCCTTACGATTTTGTCAAAGATCGTGCAAATGATTTTACAATTCCTTTCTTCCCACAATTTTACCATGCAATTTTTCTATTTCAATTTTAAACAAGTCTGTCTATTTCTCATTACTCGTTCCTTCCCACAATTTATTCAGAACCCTTCCTTCCTCCTTTCAAATTAATTCTCTACTCCTCGCTCCT